GAGCTGCAATAACGGTTTACGCAGGGGGGTGCACCAGTGGAGGATGGTAATATAAGCGTGAGATCAGGTCAGCTAATCGTAACAAATTCACTAGGAATTTATCATGATGGTTTCCAGGAGGAACGTGAAGGTCAACATGACATGGTACATTGCTAGCAATGGGGTCATCAGTACATATCAACAACCCCCTTTTCACCCCAAGTATGTAATGCATTATAACGTTTATGTATTAGATAGCATTATACAAGTATATATTTCAAGGGTTAATCGAAAAGTATAGTGGGGAAGGGGATTGTTACTAATGGGACTTAGTAATCCCCATTGCTAGCAATGTACCATGTTAGGTCGACCTCCACGCGGTTCCTCCTAGAAACCATCCTGATAAATTTCTAGTGAATGAATGAATGAAACTCTTTATTGTTCCTCTCACAGAAAATACAATTACATATACAATTATGTATAATATGATAAAAAAAAAATATCAAACAAGACAAAGAGGTAACAAGCGAATTTGTCACGATGCATCGCGATGGGCCAACTGACCTGACCTAATATTCATCCTCCACTGGTGGGGCCAGCGTAAACCGTTAGCACAGGCGGGTTTATCATCCATAAAAAAAATCGGAAAGTATATACCAAACCAAAAGACCAGGTACAATAAAATACTACGAATATATATGCTGACAAAGTAGTAATATTGAGTGGATGTAAAATTTTCGTTGAGAACATAAAACCCGACTTCCCTCCGTAAGGAGATTTAAATCAAATTTACTAAGAAGTTTCTAGAATTTTGAACATCTATCTCCTGTGGCGAGCTTTGTGAGGAATTTCCACTCAACTTGCTTAAGTATTTCAAGTTGTAAGTTGGGATAAAATCGCTTACGTATCTGTTCTAATGTGTAAGCGTTTTAGCTCTAACACAATTTGCCTGGTGAATTTCTAAATTGATCCAAAAATTTTGTACAATTTAATTTTTTATACTACTATAGTGGCAATATATGTACTATGTTGCATAGGTATTAAATTATCAATACATAGCATAAAAAAAGTCCCACCGCTATCTTTTCTCTTATATCTTTTAAATTACGCAACATATTTTAATAAAGTTTTCAGCAATAGATAGAGTGATTCGAGAGGAAGGTTTATATATATAATACATGCGTGTTATAGTATAAAACAAGCCGAAAAATTAAAAGACTTGTATAGCACCCGTGCGAAGCCACAACGGGTTGTTGGTAATTGATCAACGTACTTGTAATTTTTATTTGTTAATGCATATATATAGGTGAAATATATTTACATCAATATATAAATAACTATTTACTTTATTGTAATTAGTAGATAACTATTTGTGAGAGCGGCAAGGGTTTGTGATTTACTTATAATCAAAAGGTCGCGAGTTCGAATCCGACAGACACCAAAATAATTTTGTATGGATATTTATATTTCTGACTGAATCTCCGATGAAGGAAACACAGATTTTACAAAAATGAATACACAAAAATTAATCCGAGAGACGACGATTGGATTGCCTCCTGTCAAGTTGGAATCAAATAATATGTGAAATCTCAATCGTGCTGTGTTCTCAATGATGTCGACAATTGACATTACCTCTAACTACCCCATCTGGGATAATAGTTGAAACAATTTGTATGTATTTTCTTAGAAAAGTTGTAGTCTTGTTTTCCAATAACTATATTAATTTTGTTTTAATTTTTCATAAAATTTACATTTACCTTTCATATTGTTCCAGGTCAATAGTGAAGACAGTGGTTTAGTGTGGTGAATTAGTGATACAGTGCAATTATGTGTTAGTACATAATGTTGCTACGGCGGCGCTGCGGTCGCATCACGTGACGCACGTTATCCAAGATGGCGGACGCCAGTCCAGCCACCTCGATCATCGAGGGTACAGTCAAGTTTCGCGATGGGAAAAAGGTGAGAATTAATTACGAAATAAAATTAAAAATAAATCTGATTCGAAAATCAAATTTTCAAAAATCCTAAGGGACAAATGTGCCGTTAGATATTAAAAAGACATTTGCCGTTGTAGAAGTATCTATTTAGATATTTATATCTGTACTAGATATGCCCTATATGTAAGCTATATACTGTAAAGAAACAAACAAAATCCAATCAGTAGTTTTTGCCTGAAAGTACAACAGTCTAACTTTAATTATAGAAGTCATTTTTTAAAACTCTGTTACTAAACAACCATAGGCTGTCTTTGAGTAGGACATTTTTGAAATGTTAAGACATGACACTAAGGAACTGTTTCAATTACCATTTGATCTTTCTGAATGACGGTATATCAAATTTTCAGAAATAAAATTCTAAGATTTAAGCATATTATATATTCCCTAATATTCATAGTATCGGACTGCTGTTGAATCATTAATTGATTTAAATTTACCTTTATAATCAACAATTCCTCATTTTATAGCGTGCAGTAACCGTATCATGCTTATCGATCATTTTATCATGCCATAATGTCAACTGCATGATAATCAATTTCACAATACGTATAAATTAATAAAGATGGGAGGGCCACATCGCTGTTTTAACTATTGGAAAATAAATGTAAATATAATTGTAGAGTTTTTACAAATCAATTGTAATTTTATTTAGTATGAACAATATTATTATCTGTATTCTATTTAATTTCTAGATATTTTATTAATATAATAATATATATATAATATAATAAAAATAAAATTTATAGTAATAATAAATAACCCTGGACATAGCGCCGTGGGACTACCACGGTAAGCAGAGCTTATATTTTCGGAACTAAACTTGTATCATATATCTTTTTTTTGTAAATACATTCATAATATACATAGATAACATCCAGACCGATACAAACAATCATACTCATTAATACACATGTTTGCACTGTACGAGGAACCCGCGACCATCGGAAATACAGCGGTGTGATAAACCGCTAGACCACCGAGGCCGTCATAGTTATATGTCCTATAGTTATATCAAATGGATCAACATTGAATAAAAACTATTAAAAGTTGGGGGGGCGATTTCCTAATTATAGAAGTCTATAAATATAAATAAAAAATATTAGAGCACATGTCTATGTCATTAAACGTAATGGTGTCAAACAAAAAAAAAACATATTATTTACCAAAATTTATGTACCAAATAATGTCTTACTTACATAAGACTAAAATCTTTTTCAAGCTAGTATTCAATTTCCAATGTGACCATTCCATCTTGATATTTACACTTACGCAAATGTAGAATCGTAGGTATTTATTGGAAAAAAATATGAGTATTATGTTTGTTTCAAGTGTTATCGTCTCGAGATAATGTCGTAAGTAGGTAGATAAGAATTTTAACTATACACTCAAGTCCCCTTAATTTCATTATATATGTAAACTCCATTATAATATATATATATTCCTGGACAGCTCATACTCATCTAGTCCCTAGATAAGCAGAGCTTGTGTTATAGGTACTAGACAACTGATAGATATGCTTAGATGTTCCCTAAAATATTATCGAGCGCAGTGATGGTTGCGTCATATTCGTGAACGAGTGCTGCTTGTAGGGACTGGTCTGCTCTCATCACTATGACTGTTTTAATCCTAGTTTACTTAATATCTGAACCTAATAAATTAGTGCTAGTTGGTGGTTTGTATTCGCACGTTTCGAATTGGAAATGTAAAGTAGCAATGATTATTTAAAAGAGCAACACGCAAGTTTCTTGCTCGTTCTTCTTGTGATGAGACAGTTTTTCGAATGAGCAGTAGATTAAAAGAATGATAACTACTACTATTTAAAAGTGCTTAAGTTAAGTTTATTTGAATAAATGATTTTCTATTCTATTATATTCATTTTTGTAAATACAAATGTAAGGTACTAGAAAACATCCAGACCAATACAGTCATACTAATTTCAGATAAAATTGTATTTTAGAATTTTATCGCAAATTAGAACGGATGTTAGAGCGGATGATTCAACGGTTGAATAGATGTGAATAAAGTACTACATAATGACTAATATAGTAACTACAACATTTATTAGTAATAATAATAATTTGTCGAAATAATCTTTATTCAAATAAACTTAATATAAGCACTTTTGAATAGTCATATTTTTTATTCTACCACTCATTCGGAACGCAGACTCATCATAAGAAGAATGAGAAAGAAACTTGTGTGTTGCTCTTTTAAATAAATATTATTCAAATCACATTTTTAAGAATTTTGTGTACATACAAATAGCCAACTCACAAAGTTGAGAAAAGTAAATAAATAAGTTAAATATTTACTTGAATACCAAAATAAATCAGTCATAGTTATCATACCAGACCAGTCACTACTAGCAGCTTCCGTTCACGAGTGTAACGAGTGAGCCAGACGTCACTACGCTCAACCACATTTTAGGGAGCCCCATGACCCGTCCAACCACGCCACCACACGTTTGGACATTTAAGTATGACTGGCTCATGACATCCGACCACATTAGAACATTTTTGTCACTTATGCGAGTTAAGTTTATTCTATTAATGTTTTCTCCCTACCGCCCAGTTAAGTCACAAGTTATTACTTAATGGGTTTGTATTAGGTTTGTTTAATTTCGCTACCATTAGCACGTGTGTGTCCACAAATATTCAGTGCGGAAACCTGACCACCGCTACTGGAAGCGTTACGATCTTCTCTATCGGTGATCAAATTCCAACCGTTATTGAATCTCCTCATATGGCGATATATATTTTGCCTTAGACTTAGGCATCATCAGAGCTTGAAAGCCTTGTGTTGATTCATCAGAGATCGAACTGCGACTGATTTACTGGTAATCTACACCCATATTGAAAATTATTATATTTTAATGATAGTTTTCGTTTTTTACTTCGAATGAATTTTTAAATCTGTAGGTATTCCTTATAAGGGTTATTGATAATAAATATAAAACTCATTTTAATTTATTAAAAATAGTTATTTACAATTTTATTTTTAACCTAAAATTAATGTAATGTTTATTTATTCCTCATTTTCACGTGCGATTGCAATTAAGAATATAGAAAACAAGCATATTAAATAATAATGTAATATTACAGTAAAATAACAATATAAAATATATTTACAATTAACTGAGCATATAGTCCTCGAGCCAGAGACTTATTTCGTCAATCATGTTCTCCCGGTTGAAAACTTCTAAGATAGTTGTATTATGAAGCCTAGTGAAGGTCCAGCGGTTCCGACATTAAAAAACTTATTATAGGTATTAAGCCAGTATAAGGAAAAATAAAGCAAATTAAAAGAGAAGGAAAATTCTAAACAAAACGCTTCAGAATTATACCTAAATGGTGTACTAAGCTAAAGTCCAGGTAGTGTAATTTTACTGAACCACTTTCACCAACACAAGTTGCTTGAAGGCTGTAACAAAATACTTTTCCCCGATACTGCAATATAACGTCTTTACCAATTAATTGTAGGAAAAACATCACTCTTCTTGAAAACTAATATTCCTTAATACTCTAAGCATTTCAATTCTAGCTTCAAACTTTTGTTTATCATTCAACTTCTTAAAACTGGACACTAGAGAGAGCATGAACTGTTTATCCTCGTCAGTTTCATCTTTCTTTATCTCTCTTAGCATATCTAATATCTTTTCTTCCACGGTGCTGTTTCTTTCATACAGAGATTGCTGAAGAGGTATACTATCATTGTTGTCTACATTGTTTTTTGTATCACCAGGATCGTGATATTCAAAGTTTTCCGCTTTGATCTGACTCTCTAGAGGATCCGAATCTTCGTCATCAGACTCTTCATTTACTTCTTCATCAACTGCATCCGGATTAAGTAGAAATGTTAGCTGGTTGAAATATTCGTATCTCTTTCTTCTTTTAAACGGTCCCTCGTTGGAGTTTCTTTTGATTTTCTCTTTCTTCTGTAAAGCTAGTTCTCTAGTGAAACAGGTGCGTAGACTCTTCCATCGTTTTTGCAGTTCGTGCGCTGAAATTAAATTTAGTTGTTTATATTCAAACTTATTTGCGTATTTTGATTGATATTAAATTGATCAGATGAAATTATGTCAAGAGAAAAAAAGTCGTCGACGAAGTCGAAACACTACTTGGAACATACTAGAAAAACTACTTTAAACTTTTGGAGAAAACTGCTCTAAATTTTTTGCAATTGAACTGGCATTGGACGATAGGGGATTATTAGCAAAAAAGTAAGTAAGAAAGTAGTAGAAGATAGCTCCATTGCCAGCAATATACCATGTTATAACTCAACGCGGTCCACCTGGAAACTATCGTGATTAATTTCTGGTAAAATCGCCATGATGAATCAACTCATCCGACTTCATGTGCATTCTATCATCATCCACTGGTGCCCGCCAGCGTATAGCGATATCGCAGGAGGATGCACAATTCCATTATCATCTACTTAAAAAAACTGTAGTGTGGTGGTGGTGAAATAGGTGACTTGTGAATAATTTCTAAGATCGCTGCACCTATATGGAAAAATTAAAAACGCGTAAGTAATCTTCTAAACTGGATATGTAACTTACTATACCTATTTACCCTACCTGGGTCGGGCAATAGTTCGTCATTAAGCCCGCCATTAATAAACACATACCCAAAAATGGCGGAAGAATGACGTCTTTTCAAAGTCTACAAACGTCACTAACATCCTGTATAACTACTCTTGCTGCGATTATAGATTCATATAAACATAGAAAACTTCTTAGGTATGGCGAATTTCTGTATAACAATTGATTATTGCTTATATCGGAATTAGTTGTTTCACGCCACTTCGTCTGCTTTTATCTTTGTGATAAATTATAACATATATTCCTAGTGATACAATTTATATTAATGCTAAAATTCATTACTATCTAAGATTAATAATACGATGTCTTTTATAATCGATTAATGAACTTGTTTAAACATAATCGATATTTTTTTCTCATCCCTAGTCTCCTTATTAATTCACTAAAAAGGTTCTCGTTTACCTGCGACCGTAAATACAGACCTCATACATAATATTACAGAAAACGTAGATAACGAGTTTGTAGCAATATTTCATTCTATACGCGGTTGTTAATCTAAGTTCTTTGAGTTCTTTCCAGTCGTTCATATTTGGAAACATGTCATAGATTACAAACTTTAAAAAGGCCGAGCTTACACTACGCACATCCGCCGCAAGTACATCAGTACATACCATATTCGACCTTATCCTGTGGCCTCAGATGGTCCCAATTCGAGTACACATCCCTACAAACGTCTGTCCAAATTTTCGCTTTATACTTCTTATGGCTGTAGTACATTGTGTCATTCTTGTTGTACAGCCCCGGTCGAACTTTAACGGCCCTAATAAGTTTGTCTGTATCGATTTCACTCATTGTAAAACTGTTGAGACGCAAAAAATCGCGACGTGCGTCCACTCCAACACACACCGGGCGACTAAAGTGCGGGGGGATGCGGTCGGGCGAGCGTCGCGCAACATGGCTGCGAGTGGCGATGCCACAGAAACGAAGGTGATTTTGTTAATCGACTATGGTGTACATAATTTTAGAGATCACTGACGGACAAGCGACTAAATATTGCGTATAAAATTGCTATTATAATAATTTAATCCAATCTTATCGGGCTCATTTAGAATAAGTAGTATTTTGTAGTTTTATCAGTGATATAATTAAACTAGATTATATTTAGAATGCGTAAAAGCGATTGTCAGTAGCTATCTAGCTAATTCCGGTTGATATACGATTAAACTATATTATAAAAGATATGTTATTATAGAAAATGTATAAAATTTTTAAATTAATATATTCTCTAAATTGGAATATTTATAATAATAATATTGTTAATTTAAAATTAAACGTCGAATTGTATTGTGATACATAGTTAGAGGTATTCAGTGAAACTGTCAGTAGTGTCTAGTTGTAGGAGGCTCGTCTTCAAATCTCACGTTACATATTTTTGTTTTCTTCCATATAAACTAAGAGTTTTATGTAACTAGCTAAGCCTGTGACGTACACTACACTTAATTATTCGGAATAACAATAGATTATAACTATTTTGTTTGTAAGCCGATGGCCATAATACACTTAGTTTTAAGCGTATTTTACCTAATACATTAGTGAAAACTGCATCCAAATCGGATAAGCCGTTTCTTAGATTAGCGCGCACAAATTAACTGACAAAAATTATATGGGTTCTATTGTGTTGATAATATTCCCCAACTATAGTTTGACACTTATATCTTCCATGTACATACAGATCAGTTGCATTTTTAATATGTGTATGGTAACATTGGTCATGATATTTCATTTAGAGTTCGGAATTAATAGGCTACCTACTAATTCCGAGAAACAATCGCAACCTAACATTTCAAGGTAGCGGTCATTTTGTTTTCACACTGTTGTCCGTTTTTATCTAGTAATTATGGTAATCCTACATTAAGCCGGCAACTCAGTACGTGCGCACTGAGTCGCTCGCAACCAAGACTGAGACAGCTATAACAACTTTCTCACGTCGAATCTCGATTGTCGATTGTTGGCGGTGTCGCCCGCCACCATTTGTCGTTCAACATTTTAATATGAAATTCGATTCGAAATTCAATTCCATTTTTGAAATTCGAACTTAATTGTTTTAAATTATAAGTTTTTATTATTAAGATTCTATTGTCAATGAACACTTCTATGCGTCAGTGTGAAATATATGGGTAGTGTTTCTTATTGATTTAATGAATTTTTTAACGCTTAATTAAAAAAAAAATCAATATTCTGCGCTCCTTCTTTATGTAAACCATAAGTGCGTGAAATTATATTATTTCTTTAAAGAGAGAGATCTCTTTCCTAAAAAGGGGTGTAAAAGTTTTTACTTCACTTATTTATGTAATAATTAACTTTCGCGACTCTTATTACGGATGGGGTAGTCAGATACAGTATGTTACATCGCAATGAATTGAAAAAAAACAACTAAGTTAGTTCAATTTATTCATTCATAAGGTTAGAATCGCGCTCTTGTAGATGGAACTCTTGGCCTTTTCCACGATGTTCCATTAAACTCATTAGTTGTTGACTCCAACTTTTTCCTTGATCTGCTTTTTATAGCTGTGTCTTAAGTTTAAGTTAAAGTTAAGTTACTGTAGAAATAATCAAGCTTCTTTACATAGTATAAAATGAGGTCGCTTACGATGTCTGTTCGCTTAGATTTTTGAAATTAGGCAACGGATTTTAATGCATTTTTTACCAATAGATAGACTGATTCAAGAGGATAGTTTGTATGTTATACAAACTATCCTCTTGAATCAGTTTTTTTTTCGGACTACTCTAATCTGTTGGCCGTAGCTGGCCTTTACAGCTTCACCGGACGTTAGGGGCGAGTGCAGATGGCACTCCAAACCCGCGGAAGGACTTATGGAGCGGCTGAAGGCCAACTCCTGCTTGACGGATACGACTTTAGTCTGAGGGCACCACTAGGGGTTCGAACCTCGGCTCAGGCCGTCGTAATTTCGATCCCCGTTTGAATTGGACGGGGGATCGATCGGAGAGGTCTTGAATCAGTACGTGTACACGCGTATAAATAGGATAGGATAGTATAACCGATTTATAAACAATTTTTTTTTGTCATATTCACAAAATTGGGTTATATTAATTGCTAAATTATCTTAGTTACTATACTATGCAGAACATTACATTTTGATCTTTATGCCAATTTTTTAGTGTCCATAATAAAATGCATCATAATATTTACTACATTTAATATATGTGGCTGTTATTACAATATAGTTCATATTTATTTATTTATTTATTTATTTATTCTTTAATGCACAAAAAAAAACTTGTACAAAGGCGAGCTTAATGCCATATGGCATTCTCCACCAGCTAACCTTTAGGTATACAGAAAGCGTTGTGGGGCAGTTATGTCAAAAACAAACACAAAGTTACTAATAAATATTATATAATACATATGAAATGCAAATAAATATATACAAATAATAATATATATATTATACCTGATATTATATAATGTCATACATTAATGTTAAATATAGATAAATATAATACTAATACAATGCAATACAGTCATAACTCATTTTTCAGAAGAAAATTAAATAATTTATTTTTAAAAATGGGCTTACTCGATGCTATTCGCAGGTTTACAGGTATTCTATTCCAGAGGCTAATAGCAGTGACAGTAAACGAATTAGACATAAAACCTGAGTGATGGGAAGGGGTTGAGAGAAGGAGATTATGGGATGAACGAAGAATACGGGAATGAGAGTCACTGATGAACTGAAATCTATTTTTCAGATAAGAGGGAGACGAAGGATCAAAAAGTATGGAGAAGAGAGTACACAGGATACGCAAATCTCTGCGATTTCGGATAGACAACCATTTAAGTTGAGAACGAAAATTAGATACGTGGTCAAACTTCCGCAGCCCAAAGATGAACCGAATACAGTTGTTGAGCAGACGGTCCAACTTATTCAGCTGATCCTGAGAGAGGTTAGGAAGACACACGTCAGCATAGTCAAAATGCGGAAGTATTAGAGATTGGACGAGGAGCAATTTAGTGGAAGAAGGAAGGAAGAATTTAAAGCGATATAGAATACGGAGAATACCTGTAACCCTGCGACACACCTCAGCCACTTGCAAGTGCCATCGAAGAGTCGGATCGATTAATATGCCTAGGTTTTTAACACTGGAACAGAAAGGGATAATATTATTCTCAAAACGTACGTTCAGATTTGCCGAGTTGAATTTTGAGAGAAGTTTTGAGCTCCCTATAATTATTGCCTGGCATTTATTCGGATTTACCGATATACCAAAACGATGAGACCACCGGGCTATGTTTTCGAGGTCTACATTCAGACGACCCAAGGCTGCAGTGACGTCGTTAACCTCCGATTGAACATACAGTTGTAAATCGTCTGCATATAGATGGTAAGAGCAACTAAGATGGGAGACAACAAGATTAATAAATAGAGAAAACAGAAGAGGAGAGAGAATACCGCCTTGTGGAACACCTGCGACCAAATCACTCCAGTTAGACAAGTCCTGCCCAGAGCGAACAGCCTGCTGGCGACCACGAAGATAAGAAGAGAACCAATGCAGTGCTGACGGCGAGAAGTTGAGGTGAGAAAGTAACATCAAGATCAGGTCATGATCGACACAGTTGAAGGCATTGGAGAAATCTATTAGAACTAAAATAGTAATTCGAGTGTTCTCCATGCCCTCACGGATGTCTTCAGTTACATTAAGAAGTGCGGTGGTGGTACTATGACCAGCCCGAAAACCAGACTGATAGGGTGTTAAAAAGTTACAATTGGCTATAAAGTACGAAACTTGTTTATTTACAATCATTTCAAGAACTTTCGAGAGAAAAGGCAAGATAGAGATGGGTCTGAAATGATTGGGAAGAGTTGGATTGGAGATTTTGGCAAGAGGAATAACGAAAGCTTTTAGCCATAATTTAGGGTAATTACCAGAAGATAAAGAGAAATTGAAAATGTGAGTAAGAATTGGAAGAAATGTATCTAATAAGAAAAGGATCATAGTTTTACTCACTTCGTCATAACCCTTAGCGTTTGATTTGATGGAAAGAACTGCTTTGCGTATGTCGTCGTCAGTTACTGGAGAAAACTTGAAAAGGTCAGATGAAAGTGCAGGCATGGATGAAATTTCCTGTAAGGTGGATTGTTTAGTGATTGCGTCGAGTGGTGTCACAGAGGAAAAGTGCTTGTTGAGATCATTTATTGGGACGTTAGAGTTGGAGATGATTGGGGACTTTCCAAAACCAAGAGAATTAAGGAATTTCCAAACATCTGCCGAAGGAGAGTTTAAAACATTTCTATGGATATGTCGGCGTTTTGCAGCCCTTACCATCTGATAGCGATTTCTAGCACGTTTAAAGAGCTGAAAGTCAGTAGCGTTTCTATCCTTCTTAAAAGTACGGAAAGCCCTATCTCTTCTCGCCATTGATTTACGTACTTCATCCGTAATCCACGGTGCAGGTGGGCGACGCAATTTCACAACACGGACTGGTGCATGCTTGTCAAATAAAGTTAAAGTTTGCGCATTAAAAATGGAGATTTTCATGTTTATATCAGTAGCATCTAGCAGCGGTTTCCAGTCAATAAGTGCAGCATCGCGTCTAAGTTGACTGCCATCGATTCTGTTAAAATTACGTACACTGGTAATGATAGGCTTCGGTTTATTTGGTTTAATTTTATACGAGAGGAACAAAAGGTCATGACGAGAAAAAGCAGGAGCAGACAATTGATCATATTCAATAACGTGATTTGTTAAAGAGGTACATATAAGGTCCAGCCATGAATCGTCCGTGTCGATGTTTCGATGGGTCGGTCTTAAAGGTAAAATAGTCAGATCGGCAGAATTGAATATCGATCTTAACTTTTGCGATTGCGTCGAGTCCTTCAATAGAT